AATGCTCTCTCTTCCCAGCCACATCCCAGCCCATTTGCTACAAGAAGCCAAGACTAGAGCAAGGAAGGACAGAGAAATTGATCTCTTCTTACCTATCTGATTGCTCGGTGACTTTTCTGGTACAGATTTCTGCAGACAGCAAGGAGGATGTGGGATGAAAAAGTGAAAGGGGAGTGCAGAGTGCGTGAGCTCCTTCTCCAGAGAAGCAGCATCACAAGCACTTCCCTTGAGGTGACACACAAAAACTGCAGAATCCACACATCCCACAGTTCTGTTCTTCAGCCATGTGCAGACCTCCTGCACGAGGCATTTGAACACTTAAGGACTGGTTAGGCCTTGTGCTGTCTTTTCTTGCGATCTGTCAGGAAGATCCCTCATTCAGTGCACCTTCAGCAATAAACCAAACCACAGACAACAGATGATGAGGAGGAACACTGACAACAAACCACACAGAAGCCAATGAAGTTATACGACAAGAACAATACTGTATTATGAATGTGGGTGTGTGAATCTTGAAGCAACAACGCTCCACTTTAACGTGAGTATTAAAAAAAACAAACCTCCTCCAGAGGGCATTCAGAGCAGCAGATAAACTAGGCTCTTGTTCCAATGGCCCAACAAAGTTTCTCTTTCTTTCTTTCCCCTCAAAATGATGCTGAAACAGAGGAAGACTAGCCTGGGGAAACTGAAGTTAGCCTCTGTGATTTTCACATCTTACTGCACAACTGCTTTATTGCTTTCCCTCTTCTACAGACCGCACTGAAAACACTGATCCAGCATAGCATTCTAGGGCAAAACACGTACAAGTATAAAGTGCATCATATCTATCCACCCTTCCCCAAAAACTTTCAAAAATAAATAATGCATCATAACCAGAATAAGAAGATTGAACATTTTTATTTATACTTAGCACATACAGGAAAGATCAAAACAAATATTAAAAGATAGCATTTGTAAACAAATATATTTCACAAAAAGTTATACACTATCAAATTTGCTCTGAAAAAATTCATGGTTATAGCTGTTTATAAATGTGTATTTATCAAAATCAAGTTTAAAACTACTTCATTTTTTAAATATCCCAAATTAAGATTCATTCATTGCAAGAACTTCAGAGAGACCACAGATGTAAGGCCTAATTAAAACAAATGCATGAGTGAAGATGGCACTATGATTTCCAGTATTAAAAAAAAAAATAAAAAAAAAATCAGCAAGTGATCAAAATATCAGCCAAACCTATTTGAAGACCTAGGTTTGTAAAATACACATTCAACTTTGCAAATGTCTAACTTAAAAAAATAGAGCTATTTCACTGGATTGTCCTCATCTTGTAGTTACCAATCATGAGCTGTGTTTTTGAATCCACTCAGAGAAAAGTTACCAGTAGGTAGTTTTATGTGATTGTATAGTTCACTTCCATAATCACATTAAAAAAAAGACGACAGCAGCACCCTTTTAGCAAGGATTAATTTTTAACATTCTTGCCTTTATAGCAGCAGATATGGTTTTTGGGGATGCCATCAATATGATCAGTATGTCAAAAAAGGAATACACATACTCAAAGCTTCTTGTAGTGTTAAAAAAATTTCAAAGTTAGGCAAGCACCTGTATTTTTGCTGCAGAACACAAAACTTAAAAACAAATGACACCCATGACTAACTCAGTAGGATCCCTTTGTTGGTGGTCCGCAAGCCATTTTGATTGCCAGTGTGAATTCTGGTTTTTCCTCCCTCCAATCTCCTATTTGCATGTCAAATAAAAAACAAAGTTTCTCAAACTTCATCTATTAATTTGACTCAAAAGAAACAAGATAATAAAAATAACTAAGGCACAAATGGCTGATCTTCAACAGCAGGCAGAGGGGTCACGTAAGTACGGCAGAATGTAAATCCCCAGAAATTTATGGTCTTGGGGCACTGAAAATTCTCACCAGCTTTCACAAAAGGTTTTTCAAGATTTTTTACAAAGATTTGGAAAATACTTTTCCCAAGAATGTCCATGAACACTAAACAAGGATGGATGTACATACAAAGACACACACTTTATGCACAATATACTTTGAACATACTGCAGACAGACAAGGACCATGGAATGCAATGATCGTCTAAGATGGCAGGTGAAATGAAGATGACTGTTTTTCAGAGAGTCGTCATGAGTTTATCTTGGTACACCATACTTTGGACTCCTCCTAAATTCTTCTGGTTCTGTTCCTGGATATATCGTAAATTGCTGTCCTCTCCACTTGTGGGGGGTTTCCAATATGGCCTGTCATCATGATAGGGTGGCCTGTACCATTTGCACAGTTATTGGTTAGTGAGAGATGGAAGTAAACTTATGAGTGCTACACAGTAACATCCTGCAAGTGCTAAGCATGCATTTGGTGTGGCCGACAGCTATCAGTAAGGGAAAGAAATGGTGACAGACCTACAGGTCTGATGCAGAAGCCACTGAAGCAACTGGGAATCTTTTAGCTGATTTCAAAAGGCATTGAATCAGAGCTCAGTCATTAAAAACCATCTCTGTTTTCAAGTGTTACAGGCAAATGTCATGCATCAACTCTCCTGAATCCCAGAAGGGATGGCGGGGAGGGAGGAAGAGGCTACAGGAAAACTAAATGCCTACAACAAACAAGTAATATAAACCACATGAAGCAAAAAGCTGAGCTCAGGAAAATATATCCTTTAGGTCTAAAAAATTAAGAGCGGCAATCCTATTAAGAATGAAAAGTGTTTTTCTGTAAATATTGCCATTTGTTCGGCGCTGTTACAGTTAATTACAGTGAAGCAGCCTGTAAATTACATAGCTGCATTTTGTTAAGCTGAACACCTAGAGCCTATAGTTAGTACAGGTATTTCTCTGTGACTAGGTAGTGAAACTTCCAAAAATACTAATAAGAAAAATGTTTTTTCCTTGTTTGTTCATCACTTATTGCTGCTTAGAGATATTAAACTCAAGCTCTCCTACAATGTCTCCTGAATCACTGGAGGGAGTGGTGGGGGGGACGGATGGGACACTGTGGAGGAAACCACAATATTTAATATTCACTTATTACCAAACTGAAGATGTACTTTTTATTTTGGTAATTCTTTTCATGCTGTCAGAAATTTTACCTTTTTGGTAGATACTCTAAAGTTATATAATGACAACTGCTAACTGGAATTAATTTTCTCAGAAGACTGAACATTCAGTTAATTACAAACAAATAATTCCAATGAAAGGACTTTACTATGAAGACTGAGACACAATTCCACATATTATTTCACAAATTATTCATCAAAAAACCCCCATATATAATATCTATTGCACAGGTAGTCTCATTTCAGCCCTTGGCCCGTTCTAGACTTGCATGCCCAGCAGAAAGAATTTCATGCATCTGCGATTTGTTCTCAAGTTCACAGTCAGATGGACTAAGCTTTCTCAAATCAAGCTACCCACTCTCCCACTTTGACTCCAAGTTCAAATAACTTGAAGCTTCCACTTTAACCACACATTTCAATGCTTCTACCTGACTGGGACAATAATTCTGAGCACCTTTTCTACTGAGCTTGCATGAGTGAGCTTTTAAGCATGTTTTTTAGCCTTACAAAAGCTATAGCTTAGCTATAAAAAAAGCCACTGTTCATATTTCACTGACCTTAATCTTTGCCCACGCAGTGGAGGGGCTGAAGGGGGAGGTTCTTTACACACATTACAATACAATATTGTGCTTATTTCAATATTGCTCTGCTCCAGGGTGAACTATTTGGCTTTAAAACGTTACAGACTAGTATCATAAGTGAAGAAATATACAGAAAAATGTAAACAAAACCTCAAATGATTTATAAAATCATTAACCTCTCTCAGCAATCACCCTTTAATAATGTGAAATTGTACATTTTAAATCACACACAATTAAATGGACATGTAAACCCTAAAACCAGGAAGAATCTTGAACATGAAGTACAGGCAAAGTTAATTACCCAATTTAAAGTCTTCTGTTTCTAGCATAAAGTTAGTATCTGCTTTACCACTGTATGCTAGGAATTTTGAGATGACAACGAGCATGTCTGCTCCTCTGCCTAGTAATTCTAATAACATATTAGACTTTTTCATGCATTCTCAAGACTCAAACTTGGACCAAATTGCCTTTTCATCCTTTTTAAGCTCAGCCTCATCTCCAGAGCCTGACTATACTAAGAATAAAGTCTACCTATCCTGACGTAAGAATATAGAGATAAAAATGTAACATAAATAGGTATTTTTCAGTCAAGACAGTAATTATTTGTCTAAAAAATGGAGTAACCTAAAAAGGTTACTTTTTATTAGGATAAAATAGCAGCTGATTTTTATCATGTATATATGCAGACACGTATCTACCAGCAGGTGCATGCCTACACTGTGCATTCCACCAAGTTGGTTCTAACCTAGGACTGAATTTCTTCCAAAATTTAGTTTCACGCAATTTCTCTCATTACTAGTTATAAGCACATACAGGAATATTTTTGTGAAACAGTTCTCAAAAACTCAGGTTATAACTTCACTAATTATCTGTAAAGTGCCCAATACATTGTTCCAAGTTCATGTTATTTTTCCATATAAGTTTTTGCAAGATATGGAGAAAGTGCTGCAATACAAGAATCTGTTCAATCATAACTTAACTTTACCCTAAAATTAGTTTCTTCTTTGTCTTAGGAGATTAAATACTGATCTAATTGCAATTATTTCTATTGAAGCTACTGAGCATCTTCCCATCCAACATACTCCATACAGAAATACACTAAAGTTGTATTTCAGATTCTGAATTAAAAAGCAACCCCCAAAAAATTTTATCAAGGAGACTAGGACATTACAAAGCAAAATCTAAGTAGAAGTTATTTAATACTGCCTCTACATCACAGATTTCTAACTTCTGTTTGCTCTTCATGTGCAGAAAATTGCCCAATATGTCCACCAAAGCTTCATGCCAACAGATTAAGATAAAGAAAGAAGTAATCATCTTTTTCACAAAGTAGATTGCTTACCTTACATTCAGAGGTGTATGTGGATGCCAGTGTGCCTGAGCAGGATGTATATTAGGATGATACTGTGGCTGCAAGTGAAAACATTGAACCTGGTTAATGAAATAATATGAAAACTCCCTATTAACTTTCTAATTTTCCTGGGGCCATGAGCAACATGCTCCCTGTGAGCCCTAGAAACCCCACTGTTTCAGACCTTCTCTCCCATGCCACTGAGCATAAACATGTGATGAGCGTGCTTGTTAGGACACACTCATGGGAAAATGCAAAGAAAATTGCTTTTCTGTTTGAGAGACAACCTGGCACATCTAGTGCTTCTTATGGAAAGCACATCAAAAGAATGTCAGCTTTAATCAAAGGTGGAGAGTGAGAAAGGTTACTATTATAATAGCAGTCTTCAGAAGGTCACCTATCTTTGGTGACAGCACTTCTCTCTCACATCTGAGATCTTGAGCAGAAACAGTGAAACAATCACTAGTGAGGCTTTTAATAAAAACAAGTGTTAAGACTAAGTTCTCAGCCACCCAGTCAGTCTGGATGAAAGCACAGCTTGCTTTCTCAGTAGCACTGATGGCTAGCGTCACAGACGAAAACCAGGTAAGGTTTTCCCTGAAGCGTAAGCGTATGAATGAGTTTGTTTTTAAAACAAAACAAAACAAAACCCCTACACACAAAAAAAAAAAAACCCAAACCAAAAACACAACATTTGACCAGCAATGAACACCTTGAGTGTTGTGATGGGGGAGACAATTGCAACTTTGAACTTGTTGTCACAGATTGTCCAATGTGGGAGGCTGCTCTGGACAAAAGCTTGCTCACAGAGCAGTCTCCTGGGGTCCATCATATTCATAGTCCCGGATGTTTTAACCTGTGATTTCACTGAAAGGAAAGGGAAGGGAAAGGGTGGCAAATGGAGTGTATTCAGCTTGCAGAACATCCAAGAACACAGGGGAAGAAAGAGAGAAGAGTCCCTCCACTTTCCCCTTAACACTCAATGTGACGCTGTTTATTTCTGAACCACATCAGAGAATATCACTTGAGAGTAAGGAAAGGGGAGCAAAAGAGCTGAACTAATTATAGAGAGCAAACATATTTGCCACTAAATAAGAAAATGACAATATTCTTCCCAACAACTATTATGCTCTTACCTGGTAGTTATGGACTTCAGGAGTATTTTTAGCACTGAGGGAGAAAAAAAATCAGTTTGTATGTAATCAATACACCTATGTTGCAACTTCCTATAGTTCAGATTTCTACTCTTCAGAAAAGTATTACAGTGAAGTAAAATTAATATTCTTGAGGACATCAATACTTTATTCAAGATATACACCCCAGCAACTAGAGTACAAGAAAAAAGGGTGAAAATTTTTTTCTTATTTTTACCTTTATGAAACAGGAATAAATATTGCTAGGTAAGTTAGCATAACAGCAATGAACAGAAAGGAAATATGTTTTATTTTAGTCTGATCTCAAACACAAGAAGAAAAAAAAGGAAGGACTTAAAGTCTCATAGGCAGTCCCCAAAAAGAATCTGGTGCTGTACAATGAGAGATCCCAAAGCAATTCATCCCACACCAGAAAATCTGTTTCAAAAAATCCCGATGCACAAATAGTCTTCAGAATCCTTTTTGCCCGACAACAGCAACTGAGGTAGAGAGAACTTGTGCAGTCACTTACCACAGTGGTGCTGCTTTCACAGGATTGTTGGCTTAAAAAGAAACAAACAAAAAACCTTAAGACAGGTGAAAAAGCCTTAAGATGTGAAATATCAGTCATTTTGCAGCTATTGTGATTAGGATGTTACGCTGCAGCTTAAGTGAATCCTCATACAGACATACTTGCACAAATGTGTCACAATCACAAGTGCAGCCCTATGCTTTCTAGCACTCCTGTGTGAGTACGTGAAGGAGGAGGTGGACACGAACCTCCCTCTGTTTCTGCAAGAGTCAAAGCCCATCAAAGATGAGAGCAGATGAATATTATTCCCAAATGTCACAAAAGAAGGACTTCTAGCAGAGTGAGTTCCGCACAACCAGAAAACTACTTTTCCCACCTTGCTGTAGCTTCCAGGTCAATACCATTGAGCTCCTTGGAAATCAGAATTGGAGGTGTTTAGAGCCTCTAGAAAGCATACATGCTTGCTACCCTTATCCCTCCATTGTACATGAGAAACAAAAGTGTCCCCATAATACCACAACGACTTTTCATGGAACTGAGGTTCATATTCTAGGAACGCAAAGGAGTGCAAAGATGTCCTAAGGGAATGTCAGCTCACCCTGCTCCATAGAGCAACTACATCTCCAGCCTCAAGTAACAGAGAACTTAGAGGGGGTTGGCTTGCAGTGCTTCTTCCTAGGTTTTTCTACAAGGATAAAAAACTCATCTTAAGTTTTGAAGGACAAGAAAACCGTAAGGGAAATCTATTCCTTGTCATTCCATTCAAATTCAGCACATCTCAACTCCCAGAGAAAGCTAGTTAAGGTCAGAGCCAGGATAGGTGAATTTTGTGCCATTACAGTTAGGAAAACACCAACAACAAAACGAGACTGCTCAATAACCCTAAAACTGGCTGGCTAGATAAGCAAGTCAGTGATGCTTTTGGACACTGTTCCACTCTACATAACAAATGTACTTCTTCAAAGAAAATATTACATGTTTTCCCTCATTTAATTTGTTGCAACTTTTCTTTCCTCCTCAACACAGCAACAAAAGAAACCATAGGTAACTCCTTCTCCATAGATGGGGGATGGAAAAATTAAGTACAGACAGATTAAAAATGGTAGACATGAATAATGGACTGACTATGGAGAAAAAAAAAAACCATGTATACTCTAATTTTTAGGTGGTCTGACATGTTTTTCTTTTTATACCATGATACAGATTTTACTGTTGTAATATGGCATTTATACGAGTTAACAGGATACCTGCATGACAGGTTCAGTGAACACATGTACAAATGCTTACCCTTAAAAGTTGAATGCCTTCGAGAAGGATATCGCTTGCTGGGCCTTCTTTCAAATGTACTAGTTCTGCGCAATCTTGTCCCATGTGTTGCTTGATACTCTGTCCGTCCACTTAAATGCAGAAATAGACCAAGTTAACTACGGCCTTTTGCTGGGTGTTGTACTTGCTCCTTTGTATAAACACAAATATATTGCTGTTACTTCACTAAATACCTGAATCTGAAGCGTGATCCCAGCCTTATGAAGTCAGATCTACTAGATTTACTATTTGCTGGAGCTCGCAATCTGAAGAAAGCATGGTGCTCCACGGCGCACTTCCACAAATGCTTGCACGTTTTGGCACTGTCTAACCGGAAAACAAATGTGTGCTCTTGCTCTCTGCCCTAAATGCAGAAACAAAAGCTTTGGAAGTTGGCATGCATGATATTAGTTACTATCCTTGGTAGGAGAAATACAGCCTGGGCCAACAGTGTGCTGAGCATCCCTTGTGTTCTTACCAGCCAGAGCACACACTGCACTTTGTTGGATCAGGCCCAAGTAAGGGAAGAAAGTTACCTGTTCATCATCTTCTACAACCACAAGTGTTAGCTTGCTCTTTTTAAAGTCCATTTTTGTGATTTTGGGCCTAAACACAAGAATCAAAGAGAAAATTAATGGAAAAAAATGGCATTTTGTAATCTAGGACCATCCCCCAAAACGTATGAGGAATTTGTAATGCTGGAACACTTCAGGAGTTGCAATAAAAAGTACGGTTTCATGGAAATGTGACTATTTTTTGACAAATATTTCACAGTTGAGAGTGGTACTTCTAACCAGGTCAATTTACCTTCAGATTTAACCTTGATGTTCTAACCTTGTAATTTCGATCTACATTACAAAATATAAGATCCAGTTATGTAAAGGAGAAAGATTTCAGCATTTTAACAGAAAGAAATATAACACAAAAACAGATTACCAAAAGAATAAGCCTATTTTGTTGGCTCCTTCAAAGATTAATATGCCAGTTGGTGTCAGTCCAAGAGCATACTCACAACCATCTCTTCCCTGAAAGCAAGCACAGAATCAATAATCAATATGCCATTAGGAGTATTACTACAGCAGTATGTCAAAATCCATAGGTTTTAAACTAAACAATAAGCTTTGCATATTTTTTAACATTACAGAGCAGAATAACACACATCTGTATTGGGTGCAAACTGGCAGGTTTTGGCAGCAGGAGGCTGCAGGGTGCCGTATGTGGGAGGAGGCCATGTGCTGTCCCAGATGGCTCTGATGCCCGTGGAAGTGGCCCCGCACCAACACCGCAGCCAGAGAAGCCCACACCTCAGCTCACATGTGTTTAAGAGCAAGCAGTAGCTGCTAGGGGAAGGTGACACAAAAGGAAAAAATTGAGGGATGTGGGAAAAGCCACATGGAAAGGGACACTGTGGGGGACATGGCTGGAGATGCACTCTTGGGAGGAGCCCCGCAGGAGGGAGGAATCTGAGGGACCACAGCCTGCAGGGCAACCTACACCACAACAAGGATGCCCCAGAGGGCCTGGCTCACACCAGGGCAGGGACCCCACATCAATAAAATCAAGTATCATATGGATCTTACCTTAACTACATGCATATCTACACCATACATTTCTAGCCATTTAGCTTTGTTCAAGTAGCACAATTCAGCCTGCGCCGGGCTCTTTCCCCTAAGAATACAAAATTTATTTATACTTTATGGAACAAAATTTTTGTCCATTTTAAATGTTTTAAAATTCATTCCCATACTCTTTGGGTCCTCAATCTTAACGACACTAAATGGTATTTCAAGTCTAGCTTCTGTTTTTACCCTCTTCCCTCCAAATGAAAACAAATCAGAGGGATGAAAATTGAAAAAGGTCTAACATTGCCAATAAGGATTAAAGTTCAGGTAAGACAGCATCACCAAAATGTACCATATTTATTAACAAAAGACAGGAAAAAGAGCTTGCTACTACCCTACTACCATGAACACAAAACTTTACATGTGGATGTGTGAAAGGATTTCCAACATAAACAGGAAAAAGATCTAACTGCTTAAACTACCATGAAATAATCTAAAAAACGTAAATTTAAATAAATTAAAATTCACCCCACCAAACTTCCCTAAATTACCGCTTGCCATTTCTAGAGAAGGGAAGGGCTCAAAGTCTATTTACAGTGCTTCGCAAATGACAAACAATCACCGTTTCACATCTGTTGAAGGGGTTCCTGTGGACATACTTGACATTGGAAGAGAAGAAAACCTCCTGTCACTAGAGACACCACTCCCACACAGGTACCTTACCTGCACTCCTTCCATTTCTGAAAAATGTCAAATTCCATTGCTTCAGTCTGGTTTGGTGCAAACCTGAATTCAGACACGAGTTCTGGTGTGTGCTCTGGGTGCTCACATTCTCCCAGTTCAGCTGCAATCAATCAATTGAACAGTTAAAAACATAAAGGTCATCAGATGACCAGAAACATTTAATTCCATAATCTCCACAAAGACAATGATATTTTGTAAGTTTTTAAGTATATTCCAGAAGAATGCACTTGTGCCAATATTATAAGTTAATCCCCCAGTCCCCACAAGCTCAAACCAGATTTTACAGCAAAAGTCAGACAAATGCATTTGCAAGAGCAGTGTAAGGTTACGGTGCAGAATTCTGACATTCAAGAATGTTAGAACTAAAACAGCTTAACTAAAGTTGCTTCTCTGGATTTTAAAGCATTTAAAGGAAATAAAGTTTCCATTAAAACCAAAAATCAGCACACTACTGTTTCAGAAGAGATTACCTTGAAACTTCTTCTCATTGCAATGAAGTAATACTTTTAATTCCAAAACACTTCCCATTCTATTGCATGCTTTGTTAGACTACTGTTCATGCCAAAGTACAAAGATAATACCAAGTCTAAAGAAACCATTGACAAAGTTGTGGTTTTTTTTTTTTTTTTTTTTAAAACCACCATGGTGGTGTAATATTCAGGTTAAATAATTTTAAAGGAAAGAAACGCTGAAGCATTAACATCATTGAGGTATCACTTTCTACTTATTTGCTCAGGGCCTGGTATCTTCTTTTCCAGGAGCACAACACTTGCAAACTCTACTGAGCTCAGCAGGAGATGCAAGAGTTGAGCACCTCAGTGACTGACACCCTTAACTGTCTTGTGCCTGTAACATGCTTTGCTCCCGGAACCTCTCAGCTATACAAAGAGGCTGCAATGTCACTGACTCGAGACTGTGAGACAAACATCAGTGGCAAACACACCGTTCAGCAATACCACGTGTCATCTGACATCTGATGTGATTCCAACTAGGGCTTTGTCAGTCGGCGTTTCTTGACCACTACTACTATTACTACTAAAATTAAAAATAAAAGCATAGAGGGAAATGAAATCCCTTGGAGAAAACAGTTTTACTGCTTCAGAGCAGTTTTACACATAACAGTTGCAAAAATTTAATTCACTCTCAGTCCTCAAAAATACCTAGCAGGATACATTAGAACACAGAAGTTACATTCAAAATTCAATCTGTTGACTGATACACCTACTAAGTGGTTTTGAGCACTTGAGCTTTGCTCAAAAATTTTGCATTTTTTGAGGATATTAAACAGATTGAGTTCACTGATCTTCATTTCTTACTACTGCCTCACACATATTGTTTTATCTTCAACAGTAATCTTCATGGTGGGTTACAGTACTTTATCTGTCTTTAACAGAGATATCTCAGCTTTGTTGCTATTTCATCTAAGTTGGAAGCTTATTTAACACAGATGTTGCTGAGAATTCTGGCAGTCCAGTCTCCAGTACGTAAGAAGGAGCCACAACAAACACATTAGCAAGGAGGACTTCAGGGGAAAAAAAAGTAAGAAACTGAAGTTTGATGTGTTGACAACCATCTAGGAAAAACATGGGAGATTTCTCTACTAGTTAACTGAGAGAAGGCAAGGAATGAAGGCTGACTGTGCTGTAAAGATGATGTGTAAGGATGAGAAGAATCATGAGCGCGTAGGACAAAAGATACACAGAGAAGCTAGGGCAGAAGTATTAGGTAGAAGAAAAATACCACCCTTGTTTCTCAATAGCTGCACTCACTATTTATTCACTTTCAGGCAAACAGACAAGGTCAACATTTTGACCTCTAAGAAACAAGTCTTGAGAGTAAGAGCCAGTAAGACCCTCATCAGCTCCCCGCACAGGGTAGAAGGGCAGCAGGAAAAGGGGGAAGAAGCATGGTCTCCATGAGAGGATGCTCTCACTAGTGTTTCTCCTGGTGGAGTTACATTCCCCAAATGGCTCAGCAGCACTAATATTTTCCAAGGCAAGGGCACAGCAGAGGACCCACCCCTTCATTTGTGATTTTATGACAAAGTATCATGCTTTGGAATACCCCTCCTCTGATCTTTTTTTCTTTGTGGGGCGGAAGGGTGTTACTTAATGCACTTATACACATTACCTGTGTTCTTTAATAAATAACTGCATAAACTGGGGGATGTTTTTAAAACGAAGTTTCCTAGAAAGCGCTTGAAAACTCCAAAAACATGTTTATCTGTAAATATATGGTTGATTCTTTTACACAGAAGAGAAAAAAAAGTCTGCACTATCCCATGAGGACGTATTATGACTAGAGCTGAAAAATGGAGATCTGAGAAAAAGTCTTCCTTTTCAGTTTAATTAGTAGTTTCAAGAGTATACCTGGTTAAATACGAAAGCCATGCAAGAATAATGAGGTAACTAAAAACTTTTCTAGAAGTGATGATTCATGTTTGATTACAACTTTTCTGTAGATAAACCCTAAGTGAAGCACGTGATTAGGTATGTGCTTCACAAGTTACTCCATACTGCAGATGAATGTTATTTTATACATAAGCTCCTTCATGGAACTGGCAACAAACCAACAACTTGTGTCTGAAAGATGATTCACACAAAACACCAACCCTGGAAATTGTTGTTTGAAAGACAGAAAGAATTATTGTAACAGAACAACTTCCTTGATAAAGAAAAGGTATGAAGCTTAAAGCTGTCCTGTGAAGTTGGTTGCAGTGACCATGAGGTTGTGGAG